GGTACCGGATATGTCACTGATGGCATTTTATTCTCCCATGCCATGGATGAAGATGAGAGAGCAAGAGAGGATAATGGCGATAACTGTTATGCGTTGATATCACCAACAATACCAAGGATGATTATAGTAATTATTCCTAATGATTATGGGCACATTCAAACATTACATGCTTGGAGAAATCATCATCATCAGCGTCAACATCATCTTTGATAGTAGTTGTGTGAGTATGTGTGTGAGTGTGTAATGGAAGAAATATCCTCTTTGGTCTCAGCCATTAGTAGTTTGAAGCATTTAATAATGCTAATAATACCATTTTCTTGCTAAATATTTTCTAAATAGGCATATAAATGGCTTAGGAGTCATATTCCGTTAGGAAGAACCATTAGTTGAGTAGGGGAAATATTTACCTAGGATTATGTATAAAAGGGAAGGGATTAAAAACTCATGACTATGAAGAAAATATTTAAACATTTGTGAAAAATATTTATTTTTATTTCTAAATAAAAAAAATATTTTTCCAACAAAATCCAGATCCCAAATACTCGATTACAATTATTGCCAGTCAATGGCAAAATACAATATTCGCAGCGTAATTTTTCAACAATTTATTAGCAAATAAAAAACGAATATCGCAAATAGATTCAATTAATTTCAAAAAAAAAAAAAAAACACTGGAACCCTATAAAACCAGCAAAAGCATGCCGACCACAAAACATTCCAAAACCCCAAAATACTTTACACATCAAAAGGACCTATAGCAAAGGAAAAAAACCCCAACAACAACATCGTATCCTTTTGATGTTTTTGTTGGATTTTTTTTTTTTTTGGAAAAACCGTAGGGCTTTTTTATTTCAGTTACCGAATTTTTACAGTTAGTTGGTCATTTGAAGTCAACCAACTAAATGTCTATCCATCTTCCAGTTGCTGGGGTTTTTTCGTTTTTTTCTTTCATTTTGAATAACCTATTTTTTGTTGTTGTTCTTGCTGTTGTTGGACAATACATCTGCTAATGAAATACCTTAAATGTTGCCTAGCTGAGTGTATCGTATGTCCGGGCCAGGATGAATGTCTATGTGTCTAAAATTCGTATGTTGAATATTTATTTCTCATCTTTATCCTTGTTCTATTTCAGTTAAGTGCGTAGCTAAATACAAAGGACTGTGGGTAGTAGGGTGGAGAGAAAATGTTCTTACAAGGAACACATATTTTAAAAAAGAAACAAATATATATCCACGCCTATTTGTAGGCCCTTAAACATACCTTTAAAAAATCCACGCCTATTTGTAGGCCCTTAAACATACCTTTAAAAAATCCACGCCTATTTGTGGGCCCTTAAACATACTTTTAAAGAATCCACGCCTATTTATATGTCCTTAAACATACCTTTAAAAAATCCACGCCTATTTGTAGGCCCTTAAACATACTTTTAAAAAATCCACGCCTATTTTTAGGCCCTTAAAAATACTTTTAAACAATCCACGCCTATTTGTATGCCCTTAAAAATACTTTTAAACAATCCACACCTATTTGTATGCCCTTAAACATACCTTTAAAAAATCCACGCCTATTTGGAGGCCCTTAAACATACTTTTAAAAAATCCTCGCCTATTTATAAGCCCTTAAATATACTTTAAAAAAATCCACGCCTATTTGTATGCCCTTAAATATACTTTTAAAAAATCCACGCCTATTTGTAAGCCCTTAAACATACCTTTAAAAAATCCACGCCTATTTGTGGGCCCTTAAACATACTTTTAAAGAATCCACGCCTATTTGTATGTCCTTAAACATACTTTTAAAGAATCCACGCCTATTTGTATGTCCTTAAACATACCTTTAAAAAATCCACGCCTATTTGTAGGCCCTTAAACATACTTTTAAAAAATCCACGCCTATTTGGAGGCCCTTAAAAATACTTTTAAAAAATCCTCGCCTATTTATAAGCCCTTAAATATACTTTAAAAAAATCCACGCCTATTTGTATGCCCTTAAATATACTTTTAAAAAATCCACGCCTATTTGTAAGCCCTTAAACATACCTTTAAAAAATCCACGCCTATTTGTGGGCCCTTAAACATACTTTTAAAGAATCCACGCCTATTTGTATGTCCTTAAACATACTTTTAAAGAATCCACGCCTATTTGTATGTCCTTAAACATACCTTTAAAAAATCCACGCCTATTTGTAGGCCCTTAAACATACTTTTAAAAAATCCACGCCTATTTGGAGGCCCTTAAACATACTTTTAAAAAATCCTCGCCTATTTATAAGCCCTTAAATATACTTTAAAAAAATCCACGCCTATTTGTATGCCCTTAAATATACTTTTAAAAAATCCACGCCTATTTGTAAGCCCTTAAACATACCTTTAAAAAATCCACGCCTATTTGTAGGCCCTTAAACATACCTTTAAAAAATCCACGCCTATTTGTGGGCCCTTAAACATACTTTTAAAGAATCCACGCCTATTTGTATGTCCTTAAACATACTTTTAAAGAATCCACGCCTATTTGTATGTCCTTAAACATACCTTTAAAAAATCCACGCCTATTTGTAGGCCCTTAAACATACTTTTAAAAAAATCCTCGCCTATTTATAAGCCCTTAAATATACTTTTAAAAAATCCACGCCTATTTGTATGCCCTTAAACATACCTTTAAAAAATCCACGCCTATTTGGAGGCCCTTAAACATACTTTTAAAAAATCCTCGCCTATTTATAAGCCCTAATATACTTTAAAAAAATCCACGCCTATTTGTATGCCCTTAAATATACTTTTAAAAAATCCACGCCTATTTGTAAGCCCTTAAACATACCTTTAAAAAATCCACGCCTTTCTGTAGGCCCTTAAACATACCTTTAAAAAATCCACGCCTATTTGTATGCCCTTAAACATACCTTTAAAAAATCCACGCCTATTTGGAGGCCCTTAAACATACTTTTAAAAAAATCCTCGCCTATTTATAAGCCCTTAAATATACTTTTAAAAAATCCACGCCTATTTGTATGCCCTTAAACATACCTTTAAAAAATCCACGCCTATTTGGAGGCCCTTAAACATACTTTTAAAAAATCCTCGCCTATTTATAAGCCCTTAAATATACTTTAAAAAAATCCACGCCTATTTGTATGCCCTTAAATATACTTTTAAAAAATCCACGCCTATTTGTAGGCCCTTAAACATACCTTTAAAAAATCCACGCCTATTTGTAGGCCCTTAAACATACCTTTAAAAAATCCACGCCTATTTGTAGGCCCTTAAACATACCTTTAAAAAATCCACGCCAATTTGTAGGCCCTTAAACATATCTTTAAAAAATCCACGCCAATTTGTAGGCCCTTAAACATATCTTTAAAAAATCCACGCCTATTTGTAGGCCCTTAAACATACTTTTAAAAAATCCACGCCTATTTGTAGGCCCTTAAACATACTTTTAAAAAATCCACGCCTATTTTTAGGCCCTTAAAAATACTTTTAAGCAATCCACGCCTATTTGTATGCCCTTAAAAATACTTTTAAACAATCCACGCCTATTTGTATGCCCTTAAACATACCTTTAAAAAATCCACGCCTATTTGGAGGCCCTTAAACATACTTTTAAAAAAATCCTCGCCTATTTATAAGCCCTTAAATATACTTTTAAAAAATCCACGCCTATTTGTATGCCCTTAAACATACCTTTAAAAAATCCACGCCTATTTGGAGGCCCTTAAACATACTTTTAAAAAATCCTCGCCTATTTATAAGCCCTTAAATATACTTTAAAAAAATCCACGCCTATTTGTATGCCCTTAAATATACTTTTAAAAAATCCACGCCTATTTGTAAGCCCTTAAACATACCTTTAAAAAATCCACGCCTTTCTGTAGGCCCTTAAACATACCTTTAAAAAATCCACGCCTATTTGTAGGCCCTTAAACATACCTTTAAAAAATCCACGCCAATTTGTAGGCCCTTAAACATATCTTTAAAAAATCCACGCCAATTTGTAGGCCCTTAAACATATCTTTAAAAAATCCACGCCAATTTGTAGGTCCTTAAACATATCTTTAAAAAATCCACGCCTATTTGTAGGCCCTTAAACTTACCTTTAAAAAATCCACGCCTATTTGTAGGCCCTTAAACATACCTTTAAAAAATCCACGTCTATTTGTAGGCCCTTAAACATACTTTCAAAAAATCTACGCCTATTGTAGGTCTTTAAAAATATATATGTTAAAAATTACCACGCCCATTGTAAAAAATGCCACACCTAATAAAGGTCATAAAAATATCTTTGTAAATCGGCGCTATGTAGACACATTGAAGATACTATTTTGAATACATTCCACCCTAATATCCTCCCATTTTAGCCACTTTCATCAACCATTTATTTCACACTACTACCCATTTCGCCTCTATCCGAATTTTCTGTCTGGGCATTCGTGCATATCCTTGTTATTTTTGCCTGGATACATTCTAACACGATGTCTCAGTAAATTTAGCAATGTTACTTTCATTCCTTGTTCATTTTCTTTTCAAATGCCTATCCACTTTTTTGGATGGTTGGTGCCATTTGTGGTTCCATGACATACGAAAAAGGAATTCATAGGCCAAATAGAAAGAAAGAGCAATGAATAAACAAAACCCGGGAACTAAAACTGACTGAAATAAATGGTGGCGAAAATGAAAAATAGTGGCATGGAACACAAGAAAAAACAATATAGGCCATGTTAATACACAAAGACACATATACTAATACATACTGGCACACAAAGAGATACACATATGGCTTTTTCGCCCAGCCATTAAACATTTGGTGAAACAATTTGTCTTTCCTATTGTGAGGGGGGATAGAATCGTGGGGACGATTTCATTGGAATTGGTATGTAGGATTGGTGTGTGTGTGTAGGATTGCTATCTCACGTTTCCGTATAATTGATTAACTTTCATGTTATTGTTTTAACACATTTGTTTATTTTATATTTTTTTCTTTGTTTTTTTTTCTTTTCCAGAACTCTGCCGAACCTGTGTACTCTCCTACCATGGCTGGTGGCCTGTTTTCCATAGATCGTAAATTCTTCGAATTGTTGGGCACCTATGATTCTGGCTTTGATATTTGGGGTGGTGAAAATCTGGAATTATCATTTAAAACATGGATGTGTGGTGGCACCTTGGAAATTGTGCCATGCTCACATGTGGGTCATATATTCCGCAAAAGGTCGCCATATAAGGTAAGTGCAGAAAAATAAAATAAATATTAATTGTAATATAAAAATTCCATACCATGGGGCCAATTTTTATTTCTTAAATTTCCCGTTTAAAAAATACCTCCATTGGAACTTGTTACATTATTATAAATAGTCCAGGGGGGATACAGCACTTCACTTCTACACATTTTTTAAAAAAACTCATATCCAAACCTCTCCCTCTTCCCTGTCCTTTTCACTACATGGTAACTGCTTACAAGCTACACACATTATATTTTCTTTGATTCCTCTTGTGGTTTAGAGAGTGAAAACTCACTCTCTAACGCAGCAGCAGAACCTGAAACCCCACACCACGCATTTCAAATAAAAAAAAATCCAACAAAAATTTAATCCTCACACACACTTTGGCATGTGTACTTGTCACAACCGAACTCTCACTCATTCGTTCAGTCACTCACTTTTGGACACACACACACCATAGACCAGAGAAAATTACCTCGGACCACAATGTAAACATGCTTTGCAAAAAACCAATTCTAGTCTCTGGAACGACCATTGAGCTTTAACCGCCATAGATGCTTTGCTCTGCGTTGCTCGGTACTGGACACTTTGAAAAGCAACGAAACGTAACGAAATTGTATTATGGAAAGCAAATATGGGCTGGATGGCTGGCAGATAGACATTCAGACAGACAGGACGACAGTAATGTTGGAGAAATGTGAACCAACAACAAGAGCAACTGAGGCAAAAAAAATGAAACTGATTAAAAATTCTAGCTGTCATGACCACTACGGGCGACCAATCCTTGATAGATAGGAATGTTGGTGTTGTGTTTGTAATCAGATCAACACTTGAATAGGCGACAAAGTAAATTAGACAGCTTTAAAATTGTGGAAATACACACAAAATATTTTTAAAAAATTCACGCCTATAGGAGGACACATCAGACACCGTTCGAAATACATATGGAAGCTATGGCTGCATCTGCACCAATTTCAACAAAACCCAATAACGCCTCAAGTTAATTGAATAAACATTAGGAGTTTGGTGCACCATTAAAGTAAAATCGGACAAATATATATGTATATGTGGGAGCTATATTGAAATCTGAATCGATTGTTCCGAAACTTACCACACACCATTCTAGACTCAATTCAGTACGCTATGCCAATTTTTGTGAAAATCGAAGGATATAAAGGGACTTTGGTACACCATTTACATAAAATCGGACAAAAATATAAATGTGAGCTATATCTAAATCTGAACCGATTTTCAAGAAATTTTACACACATCATTCTAGATTCAATCTAGTAAGCTATGCCGAATTTCGTGCAAATCGAAGGATATAAAGGGACTTTGGTGCACTATTTAAATAAAATCGGACGAAAATATATATGGGAGCTATATCTAAATCTGAACCGATTTTCACGAAACTTGCTACTCATCAGTCCCAATTCAATTCATTACGCTATGCCAAATTTCGTGCAAATCGAAGGATATAAAGGGACTTTGGTGTACTATCTACGTAAAATCGGACATATATATATATATATATATATATATAAATCAGAACCGATTTTCATGAAACTTGGCACACATCACTCCGGGCGCAATTTAGTACGCTATGCCAAATTTCGTGAAAATCGAAAGATTTATAGGTACTTTGGTGCACCATTTACCTTAAGTCGGAGAAATATATATGGGAGCTATATATAAATTTGAACCGATTTTTACGAAACTTATCACACAAAATTTTAGGCTTATGTCAGTACGCTGTGCCATATTTCGTGCAAATCGAAAAATATTTAGGGACTTTGGTGCACCATATACCTTAAATCGGACGAAAATATATATATGGGAGCTATATCTAAATCTGAACCGATTTTCAGGAAACTTAATACACATCAGTCTAGACGTAATTTAGCACGCTATGCCAAATTTCGTGGAAATGGAAGGATATATAGGGACTTTAATGCCCTATTAATCTTAAATCGGACGAAAATATATATGGGAGCTATATCTAAATCTGAACCGATTTTTCAGAAACTTAACACACATCACTCTAGACGTAATTTAGTACCCTATGCCAAATTTCATGCAAATCGAAAGATATATAGGGACTTTGGTGCACTATTTTCCCAAAATCGGAAGAAAATATATATGGGAGCTATATCGAAATCTGAACCGATTTTCACGAAACTTAAGGCACATCACTCTAGGCTTCATTTAGTACGCTATGCCAAATTTCGTCGAAATCGAATGGTATTTAAGTATTTTAGTGCACCATTTACCTTAAATCGGACGAAAATATATATGGGAGCTTTATTTAAATCTGAACCGATTTTTCTCAATTTCAATAGGGTTCATCCTTGGGCCAAATAAATAATCTATACCAAATTTCATTCAATTCGAATCATAAATTCGACCTTTACTTTGTTTACAATTTAACATGGACAGACGGACGGACATGCATAAATCGACTTAAAATGTGATTCTATGCGTATTCTCAAAATGAACCATGAACCATGTATCTCGTTTCCTTTTGCCTGTTACAAATATATGCAGAAAGAAAAAAAATGCTGTACCGCAGTGTGGTGAAGGGTATAAAAATCCGCGACTATTGGAGAACACTAAAAAATAATTTTATAAAATCCACACCTATTGAAGGTTACCAAAAGGTTACGCCTATGGAGGATTAAAATGTTGAAGCTTTTGGAGGGTTACTAAAAATTTGTTAAGATTGTTTATTGATTGTCCTGCCAGCATTCCCTCACATTCTGGTTCATAAGGGCCATATACCATGTTCAGCTCAAATGACTTCCCCTTTATTTCGTTCCACAAAATAAGGAAGAACAATATCAAGTGTGGACCACAATCCATGGTTCCATCGAGAAAAAACCCCAACTCTTCCTCCAAGTAACGAAAAACCCTCGAAGCCGCTACCAACAATATTGAAAAACAAATGTGGCAGGACATGGAACGACCACCATAATTAGTGACTCAATTAAAACCAGCCACAGAAGCAGCAGCGACAACAACAACAACAAAACCACCTCGTGTTTGTGGTATAACAAACATATTTTTTGTCGTATTTAATGTTGTGCATGGTTTGACAATGTTAAGAAGATTTGATGGAAACAAAAAGAACGGGGTGAGGAAGCAAATGGTGGGTTCTGGGGTGGTGGGTTAAGGGGCTTGAAAAAAAGTTCAACCACATGAAATTAAAAACAAAAGAAATAATTTTTCTACATTCAAATGTTTATGTATGAGTGGATACTTTGGCATGTAATTGGGTTAATTTCCCATGTTGCCACCACCACACACACACACAGTCATCATCGCCACCACCACCACCGCTACAAATGTACTTGGAAATGCATATTTGCTTGCTGAGCAATGCATTCAAGCATACAAACAAAAGGCAAGCATGTTAAACACAAAACAAACTCTGAGGTCCTACTCACCAACGCATTCATTCACTGGCTCGCAAACACATATGCACATGCACACACACATAAACATTGAGAAATGCCCTGCTTCACTCTCCTTGATATGATCCCCAGCGGATACTCGACTGGGTGTGCTTATTGCCATTAGTTCCGTGGTACTCAGATGCAAACAACACACACACACATGTGCATACAAGAGGTTCTTATTGCATTGTCTTGCAATGATTGCATGTGTGTGTGTGTGTCTGTGTGAGTGCCAGTTTGCATTGACGTTTTTTGCTGCTGATGGAGGGTAGGAAATGTTTGCATAAAATAGTTATGTTTTGGGGTTTTCATTCTTATGTTCTTTATATTTATGTTATGTATGTACATATATATGTATGTGTGTTTATGAACATCCTCTTTTTCCCCCCATATCTCCCAGGAATTTATTTAATATTTTTGTCGTAGCATTGTTTCTGTTTCTTTTCCCCGGTTGTTTTTATACCCTCCACCATAGTATGGAGGGTATATTAGTTTTGTTTTTCCGTTTGTAACGCATCGAAATAATCATTTCCGACCCTATAAAGTATATATATTCTTGATCAGCGTAAAATTCTATGACGATATAGCCATGTCCGTCTGTCTGTCTGTCTGTCTGTTGTAATCACTCTAGCGTCTAAACGAATGGAGATAGATCGCCAAAATTTTGCATAGAGTCGTCTTTTGTCTGCAGGCAGGTCAAGTTCGAAGATGGGCTTTATCGGTCCACGTTTAGGCATAGCTCCCATATAAGGGTACCCCCAAATTTTCGGTATTTTGGGGTTCTTGAGCGCGGTTTTCAACCGAATTCGCTGAAATTTGGGTTCTTATTGGGTACTTAATATCTCCACAAAAAATTATAAATATAGGTCCACTTTTTCTGGTAGCCCCCATATAAGGGTACCCCCAATTTTGCGGTATTTTGGGGTTCTTGAGCGCGTTTTTCAACCGATTTCGCTGAAATTTGGTACATTTGGTTCCTATTGGGTGCCAAATATCTCCACGAAAAATTTTAAATATAGGTCCAATTTTTCGGGTAGCCCCCATATAAGGGTACCCCCCAATTTTCGGTATTTTAGGGTTCTTGAGCGCGGTTTTCAACCAAATTCGCTGAAATTTGGTACATTGGGTTCTTGTTAGGTACCAAATTTCCCCACTAAAAATTATAAATATAGGTCCACCTTTTCCGGTAGCCCCCATATAAGGGTACCCCCAATTTTCGCTATTTTGAGGTTCTTGAGCACGTTTTTCAACCGAATTCCCCGAAATTTGGTATTTTGTAGTCGTATATGGTAACAAATTTCCCTACAAAAAATTATTGATATGCACCCCCTTTTTGGGGTAGTCCCCATATAACCCCCTTTTTTATATTAAAATAGTTATGCAATCTGTTCCGCGTTTTGGATTTGGTTCTAAGACTCTGTTGTAATCATATCACCTGCGGAGGATATCGAGATAAAAAACTAGAACGTAAGGTTCGCTAATGAACTATATATGAACTATAACCCGTACTTAGACCTAGCCCCTGCGTGAGAGGTACCAGAAGGAGTGGACCCGTATTCCCCATCATCAAACTTGAACTAAGTTTGGAAGAAATTATAAGATGGCCAAAGTTTGGATGAAATCAAAATTTTCTGAAACAAATTTGGTCCAAAGGAACATGGGGTCTAGAACCATTTTAACCGTGTATTAAAAATTAATCCATTAAAAATTTCTGAAATTTGTTTTATAGTTTACATTGTGTTTTACATAACTGGTTTGTGGAAATGTCGAAATATGTTCATTTTTTTTATTTTCCCTATATTTTCATTTTAAGTACCTGTCAGTATATCTATGGTGGAGGGTATCCAAAGTTTGGCCCGGCCGAACTTAACGCTTTTTCACTTGTTTTATTTTCATTTCTCATTCACGCTTTTGGTTTCTTGTGATATCTTTGTGTGTGTGTGTTATTTTTTATATGTTTCCACAAAATTTTCGGAATTCATTTGTTCTATTTTCTCTCCCACTTTCATTGTATTTTCCTCATTCCTCTCTCTCTCTCTCTTTGCAGTGGCGTTCAGGCGTTAATGTACTTAAAAAGAATTCGGTACGCTTGGCTGAAGTCTGGTTGGATGATTATGCAAAATATTATTATCAACGGATAGGCAATGACAAAGGTGATTATGGTGATGTCACGTCGCGAAAAGAATTACGGTAAGTTTTTGTTATATTTCGTTTGTTTGTTTGTTTGTATTCTTTAGAGAATATTTTGATTGTATCCAATTTTTTTGTTTGTATGAGATGAGGGATAATGTTTTTAAATTATAAGTTTTATATTAAATGAAAATGATTTTGGGTTATAATGTACTTTCTTTGAGAGGAAAGCAACATTGTCCTCGAATATATTGTCCACGAATATTAAGAAAATTTAAAAGTCCAGAACACAATTTTTTATCGAATAGTTTTTTTCTTAAGAAAATGTTTTCGGAAATCTTCAAATTAATCCTAAGGAGTTTGGATTTTTTTTAATAGAATAAACTCAACATAGAAATAACCAGTAAGGAAAGTAGTAAAGTCGGACGGGGCCGACTCTAGGATACCCTTCACCACTATGGGTACATTAAACAGGACTATTAACATGAAATTGGATGAAATAAAATATGTGATATTTATCTAAATGTGAATCTACGTAGATCTATCCATAAAGTATGTAAATCGACTTCAAACAAATATAAATGGGTCATCCGTTGGGCTATGTCTGTACTTCTAGAAAACGCAACTACGTAATTCTATGCTCAATTTTGTACGTTGTGCAAAATTTGATGTCAATCTGACTAACATGAGGAGTATGATGCCCAATTTGCTTGATATCGGGCGAAAAAATAGATGTAAGCTATATCCACATATTAAGCGATTTCAAACAAACTTGTCACAGGTTAGGTTATACTAACTTTAGAACGTTTTGTTCCTATTGGTTCCTTGGTGCGTCAATTACATAAAATCAATCTATAATAAAATGGAGCTATATCTAAATCTGGACCGATTTTCACGAAACAAGGCAGACATCACTCTAGGCTCAATTCAGTACGTTATGCCAAATTTCGTGCAAATCGAAAGATATATAGCGACTTTGGTGAACCATTTACATGAAATCGGACGAAACTATATGTGGGAGCTATATAGAAATATGGACCGATTTTATCGAAACTTGGCAGACATCACTCTAGGCTCAATTCAGTACGTTGTGCAAAATTTCGGGCAAATCGAAAGATATATATGGATGTTGGTGCACAATTTACATGCAATCGGACGAAACTATATATGGGAGCTATATCTAAATCTGGACTGATTTTCACGAAACTTGGCAGACATAACTCTAGGCTCAATTCAGTACGTTATGCCAAATTTCGTGCAAATCGAAAGATATATATGGATTTTGGTCACAATTTACATGAAATCGGACGAAACTATATATGGTAGCTATATCTAAATCTTGACCGATTTTCACGCAGCTTGGCAGACATCATTCTAGACCTAAATGATTAGGCTGTACCAAATTTCGTGCTAATCGAAAGATATATAGGGACTTTGGGGCCCCATTTACATTAAATCGGACGAAACTATATATGTGAGCTATATCTAAATCGGGACCGATTTTCATGAAACTTGGCAGACATCATTCTAGGCCCAATTAAGTACGTTATGCCAAATTTCGTGCAAATCGAAGGATATATAGGGACTTTGGGGCACCATTTACATGAAATCGGACGAAACTATATATGGGAGCTATATCTAAATCTGGACCGATTTTCTTGAAACTGGGCAGACACCATTCTAGACTCAATTCAGTACGTTATGCCAAATTTCGTGCAAATCGAAAGATATATAGAGACTTTGGGGCACCATTTACATGAAATCGGACGAAACTATATATGGGAGCTATATCTAAATCTGGACCGATTTTCACGAAACTTGGCAGACATCACTCTAGGCTTAATTCAGTACGTTATGCCAAATTTCGTGCAAATCAAAAGATATATAGGGACTTTGGGGCACCATTTACATGAAATCGGACGAAACTATATATGGGAGCTATATCTAAATCTGGATCGATTTTCACGAAACTTGGCAGACATCATTCTAGACCTAAATGATTAGGCTGTACTAAATTTCGTGCAAATCGAAAGTTATATAGGGACTGTTTACATTAAATCGGTTAAATATATATATGGGAGCTATATCTAAATCTGAACCGATTTTTCCCAATTTCAATAGGGTTCGTCCTTGGGCCAAATAAGTGACCTATGCCAAATTTCATCCAATTCGGATCATAAATGCGACCTGTACTTTGTTTACAATTTAACATGGACAGACGGACGGACGGACGGACGGACGGACGGACAGACGGACATGCGTAAATCGACTCAGAAAGTGATTCTATGCATATTCTCAAAAGGAACCATGGGTCTATCTCGATTATTTTTGCCTGTTACAAACATATGCACAAAGACATAATACCCTGTACCACAGTGTGGTGAAGGGTATAAAAAGAATTTTCCAAAAAATAGCCAATAAAGTCCTGTGTTTTTTGAAATATCATATATTTTTTTAAATAATTTAATTTTTTATAGAAAAAATTGGATTTATTTTTTTATTTATGAGGGATATTTTTATTTTATAAACCAGTGAGCGGATCAGTATAGTCGGACGGGGCCGCCCATACGGTACCCTACACAACTTCCATGAAAATCTAATTTTTTGTGGTACTATATTCTGAGAATGGGCAATATTTCGCGATATTTGCACACTTTTTACAGGCTAGAGGTCAGCAAATGTTACTAATAATCAGTACAGCCCCTCTAATTACTTGCCCAGATTCCCTTCACCGTGGGTTGTGTTGTGATGTTCTTTTTTCGACTCGAAAAGTACAAATAATTAAGTTTTCGATCCACTTCATCCGAAAAATTATTATCTGAACATCACCTAAACATTAACCGATCTTTTCCAAAAGGGGTCTGCATTGGCCAGAACCCATTCTACATGCATACATTTCGCGAAGATTGGTCCATAACTGTGGCCTGTATCGTGATTACAAATTATAATGGACAGACGGACGGACGGACACACATGTCTAGATCGACTCAGCTAGTCGAGATATGACGATCGGTATACTTTAAGCTGGGTCTAGGACCAATATTTCGCGGCGTTACAAACTTTTGGGGCTGTACAAAGCTATAATACCCTGACAACATAGTTGTGTAGGGTATAAAAAGTATTTTAAGCTTACAGAATCCTGAGGAAAAATTCGGAAATAGTTCTGAAGACTGAGTTATTATATAAAAAATTTAAATCCCAGAAGGCTGGATTTTTTAATATATTTATTTTTTTCGTAGATTAAAATCCTCATCAGAATTTTTAGATCATATGTTTTAGAGCTCTATTAGAAAAATTCCTCATGAGTATTGAGAACTAATTTTTTCAAGAGGATGGCTTTTTTAATTAGAACACAGGACAATTTTTTAGAAATCCTTCGGATTCTAAAGACTATTTTCTTGTGAAATAAATAATCGGAATTTTATAAACCAATCTTAAAGAAGAATTTTTACAAGAAAAAAATGCCAAGGATAGTAAATTTCCTGGATACTTTAGAAAAGACCCTTATTCAAGGTTTCTTGAGAGTCGTGGGAACTGATATTTATAACCTTCACCACACTGTGATACAGGGTATTATGTCTTTGTGCATATGCTTGTAACAGGCAAAATAAATCGAGATAGACCCATGGTACCTTTTGAGAGTATGCGTAGAAACACTTTCAGGGTCGTTTTATGCATGTCCGTCCGTCTGGTGATGTTAAATTGTAAACAAAGTACAGGTCGCATTTATAATACGATTTGAATGAAATTTGGCACAAGTCACTTATTTGGCCCAAGGACGAACCCTATTGAAATTGGGAAAAATCGGTTTAGATTTAGATATAGCTTCCATATATATTTTCATCCGATTTAAGGAAAATGGCGAACCAAAGTCCCTATATATCTTTCGATTTGCACGAAATTTAGCACACCGTAAAGAATAACGTCTCGAATGATGTGTACAAAATTTCGTGAAAATCGGTTCAGATTTAGATATAGCTCCCATATATAGTTACGCCTGATTTTAGGTAAATGGTGCACCAAAGTCCCTACATATCTTTCGATTTGCACGAAATTTGGCACAGCGTAATGAATTAGATGTAGAATGATGAGTGCAAAGTTTCGTAAAAAACGGTTCAGATTTAAATATAGCTCCCATATATATTTTCGTTCGATTTCAAGTAAATGTCCATCAAAGTCCCTATATATCTTTCGATTTGCACGAAATTTGGCACAGCGTAATGAATTAGATATAGAATGATGTGTGCTAAGTTTCGTGGAATTCGGTTCAGATTTAAATATAGCTCCCATATATATTTTCGTCCGATTTAATGTAAATGGTCCACCAAAGTCCCTATATATCTTTCGATTTGCACGAAATTTGGCACAGCGTATTGAATTAGGTCTAGAATGACGTGTGTTTAGTTTCGTGAAAATCGGTTCAGGTTTAGATATAGCTCCATATATATTTTCGTCCGATTTAATGTAAATGGTCCACCAAAGTCCCTATATATCAGCGTATTGAATTAGGTCCAAAACGATGTGTGTTAAGTTTCCTGAAATCGGCTCAGATTTAGATATAGCTCCATATATATTTTCGTCCGATTTAATGTAAATGGTCCACCAAAGTCCCTATATATCAGCGTATTGAATTAGGTCCAAAACGATGTGTGTTAAGTTTCCTGAAATCGGCTCAGATTTAGATATAGCTTCTATATCTGACCAAATAAAAATTTAGTATCGGTTGCAGAATGAAATGTTTATGGATCCAATTTCATTCCTTTAAAAATGCGACGTCTGTTAGGATTCATCTGTTGAATATACCCAAAGTGGTGAAGGGTATCATATAGTCGGCCCCGTCCGACTTTACTATTTTCCTTACTGGTTAATTTTATTTTCTACATCATTTTCTCAGAGATCCTAAGTAGATACTTTTTCAGGGATCCTGAAGATCCAAGATACTGATTTTTTACAGAGATAAACATTTTAATTCCACAAAGATTCTATACGCTGATATTTCCTATGGAAAAAAGTCCCTAAGAGGTCCTGAGAACAATGGATATTTCGAAAAATACTTTACTAAAA